GAGCTCCATTTCCGGCAAAACCCAGTGCTTGGTGTTGAATGGAGATGGAGGACGGGGTTTTTGAATACCTACTGCGTGTTTGTATTCCCCCTAAGAGCCCAGCCTTGCCCGACCCAAGCTCATTCCCTGCGTGTGAATGCTCCCTGGGCCGGGGCCCAGCATGGCTCGGGTTGAGCTCCCCGCACAGGCTTCCAGGCACGTGGACCCGCTCCTGCCTCGGCTGCCTCATCTGCAAGCCCACCTCAGGGTGCAAGAGTCTGCGGCCTGACAAGCGCTCTGCTGCATGAGCCTGGCACGGGGTTCTGGACCCAGGAGCATCGGAAGGAAGCGCTGGGAGCCGGCTCATGGCTCATGCTGGGAAGGCACTGTGCCGCGGGCGTACCTCTCAGCCTGCGCTGCAGGCCCAGGAAGAGCAGGCCGGCCACCAGCTGCAGCAGGAGCAGGGGCAGCACCGCCAGGCCGGCCAGCGCGCTGGGCCCCACCCAGTGGAAGGGATCTGGAAGAGAGCACAGGCCCACTCAGTGGGAGGATCTGCAGGGAGCATAGGCCCACCCAGTGGGAGGATCTGGAGGGAGCACAGGCCACTCAGTGGGAGGATCTGGAAGAGAGCACAGGCCCACCCAGTGGGAGGATCTGGAGGGAGCACAGGCCACTCAGTGGGAGGATCTGGAAGAGAGCACAGGCCCACTCAGTGGGAGGATCTGGAGGGAGCACAGGCCCACCCAGTGGGAGGATCTGGAGGGAGCCCAGGCCCACCCAGTGGGAGGATCTGCAGAGAGCACAGGCCCACCCAGTGGGAGGATCTGCAGGGAGCACAGGCCACTCAGTGGGAGGATCTGGAAGAGAGCACAGGCCACTCAGTGGGAGGATCTGGAGAGAGCACAGGCCCACTCAGTGGGAGGATCTGGAGGGAGCACAGGCCCACCCAGTGGGAGGATCTGGAAGAGAGCACAGGCCCACCCAGTGGGAGGATCTGGAGAGAGCTCAGGCCACCCAGTGGGAGGATCTGCAGAGAGCACAGACCCACCCAGTGGGAGGATCTGCAGGGAGCACAGGCCCACCCAGTGGGAGGATCTGGAAGAGAGCACAGGCCCACCCAGTGGGAGGATCTGGAGAGAGCTCAGGCCACCCAGTGGGAGGATCTGCAGAGAGCACAGACCCACCCAGTGGGAGGATCTGCAGGGAGCACAGGCCCACCCAGTGGGAGGATCTGGAAGAGAGCACAGGCCCACCCAGTGGGAGGATCTGGAGAGAGCTCAGGCCACCCAGTGGGAGGATCTGCAGAGAGCACAGACCCACCCAGTGGGAGGATCTGCAGGGAGCACAGGCCCACCCAGTGGGAGGATCTGGAAGAGAGCACAGGCCCACCCAGTGGGAGGATCTGGAGAGAGCTCAGGCCACCCAGTGGGAGGATCTGCAGAGAGCACAGACCCACCCAGTGGGAGGATCTGCAGGGAGCACAGGCCCACCCAGTGGGAGGATCTGGAAGAGAGCACAGGCCCACCCAGTGGGAGGATCTGGAGAGAGCTCAGGCCACCCAGTGGGAGGATCTGCAGAGAGCACAGACCCACCCAGTGGGAGGATCTGCAGGGAGCACAGGCCCACCCAGTGGGAGGATCTGGAAGAGAGCACAGGCCCACCCAGTGGGAGGATCTGGAGAGAGCTCAGGCCACCCAGTGGGAGGATCTGCAGAGAGCACAGACCCACCCAGTGGGAGGATCTGCAGGGAGCACAGGCCCACCCAGTGGGAGGATCTGGAAGAGAGCACAGGCCCACCCAGTGGGAGGATCTGGAGAGAGCTCAGGCCACCCAGTGGGAGGATCTGCAGAGAGCACAGACCCACCCAGTGGGAGGATCTGCAGGGAGCACAGGCCCACCCAGTGGGAGGATCTGGAAGAGAGCACAGGCCCACCCAGTGGGAGGATCTGGAGAGAGCTCAGGCCACCCAGTGGGAGGATCTGCAGAGAGCACAGACCCACCCAGTGGGAGGATCTGCAGGGAGCACAGGCCCACCCAGTGGGAGGATCTGGAAGAGAGCACAGGCCCACCCAGTGGGAGGATCTGGAGAGAGCTCAGGCCACCCAGTGGGAGGATCTGCAGAGAGCACAGACCCACCCAGTGGGAGGATCTGCAGGGAGCACAGGCCCACCCAGTGGGAGGATCTGGAAGAGAGCACAGGCCCACCCAGTGGGAGGATCTGGAGAGAGCTCAGGCCACCCAGTGGGAGGATCTGCAGAGAGCACAGACCCACCCAGTGGGAGGATCTGCAGGGAGCACAGGCCAGCCAGCTGGCACCCTGCGCCAGGCCGCCCGCTCCACAGTGAGGTGAGTGAGGGAATGAACATAACCAAGGCTCAGAGAAGGCAGCACAGAATTGACACCTGAGCTTAGTCTTGAAGGAGAGGCTAGAGCTTGGAACAGCAGCACTCAAGGCTGCAGGTTGGGCTAATCTTGGGGAGTTTTGAGAATCAGCTAAGGGATGCTGAGGCCGCCAGGGTGGCGGAGGGCCTGCCCCTCAGGGACAGGCCTGAGTTGACACCACAGAGCAGAGGAGAGTCTGGTGGGCAGTTCAGAGGTCATGGTAGCGGGGACAATGAAAAGGACAGGAGCTGGCACTGGGCCATGATGGAGGTGGAGAAGTTCAAAGGGCTGTGGACTCACATAGGGAAAAGGATACGTATGTATTTTCAGTAACGCTGAAACCAAATGTAGTGTTTCTTTCTATTATGTTTGTAAGCAATACACGCAGAACCTGTGACTTTGTCATCAATAAAAACCACAAATACCTTCATGTCATATGGAGTTGTTGCAGAAATCTCAAAGTATCACTTATGTCCCTCATTAGTTTGAAATTACTTATTATCAGGGCCATCCCATATCTTGTTATGTTGTTAACTGTTTCAGGGCTGATGTGTTTTATTTTATGCATTTAAGTCGCCCTCCGAGAAGGGCCATCACCTGCCCAGGCTGCCGGAGGGCTCCATGCGCACGCGGCTTAGGAATCCCTTTGCTGGAGCTTGGAGACAGGAGGACCCACAGGACTTGTGCCTGAGCGTGTGGAGGGGAGCGGAGTGAGGGAGGGACTCAGCGCTCTGGTCCCACCGCTTTCCCATTCTAGAGTCTGCTGGGCAGTGCCCACGCGCTGCCTGTCCAGGCTCAATGTGCCATGCTTCCGCCAGCCCGTACCTTGTTCTCTGCTTCAGAGGGCTGGATAAAGACACTGCCATCCTCGTTAGGAATTAAGTCAATAAGCAACATTAAACCGGTCAGGAGGGCCCTGGCCCACTAGCTCATCCACATACACCAGGGTTGCGGGTTTGATATCCGGTCAGGGCATATACAAGAAACAATCAATGAATGCATGAAGCAGTGGAGCAACAAATCTATGTTTCTCTTTCTCTTCCTCTCTCTCAAATCAATAATAAAGAAGTTCATCTAAAAAATAAATAAATGGGTCAGGAGGGATTCTTAGGTATAAATACAACCGTAGAAGAAAATACAGCAAAGTCTACTTTGAAGTTCTTATCTGGGTACCGACAGAGCATGGTTGTCAAGCTCACAGTTCAGCTTTTTCTTTGTAACCAAGAGAGAGAACAGAAGGCCTATGGACCTTCTGACGGAAGCAGCAGGGACGCCGCTCCCAGGAGTGTGCCTGACAAGGTGACTGCGCATCTAACCCGTCCACTAACAGGAAGTGCAGGGGACGGAGCACCCTGCTACACAGCAAGGGGACGAAATAGGCAAGATCTAGATCGAGGGAAACACTACAGCGCAAACACCAACGTGTGGATCCTGTTTGGGTTCAAGTCAAACAAACCAGTTGTACAAATATACTTATGAAACGATCAGGAAAATTTGAACACAGACTGGGCATTGATGACTTTAAGGAATTTTTGTTAATTTTTAAAAATGTGATCATTGAATTTATTGGGGTGACATTGGTCAATAAAATATAGGTTTCAAGTGTACAGCTCTCTAATACATCACCTGTATACTGCATTGTGGCATCACCATCCAAAGTCAAGTCTCCTTCCATCACCATTTTTAAATGTATTGATTGATTTTAGAGAGAAAGGAAGGGAGGAGAGAAGCACTGGTTTGCTGTTGCACTTGTCTATGCATCATTGGTTGCTTCTTGTATGTGCTCTGACTGGGGACCAAGCCCTTAGCCTTGGCACATCTGGACGATGCTCCAACCAGCTGAGCTACCGGGTCAGGGCTCCTCCCAGAACCGTTTGTCCCGCCTTTACCCTCTTCTACCTCCGCCACCTCCTCAAGCGTTCTTACACTTGAATGACACATCCTTAAGGATTTAGCAATGAAATGATACTGCAGCCTAGGACTTGCCTCGGTCACTCAGTCGGAAGGGGGTAACGAGGGGTCAGGTGAAGCAGTTTGCCTTTGGTCATAACTATTGCAGGTAGCGATGGGTCCTTGGAGGCTCATTACCGTCATCCTCTCTACCTCTGTATACATTTTAAGGTTTCATAATGATGAGTTTAAAGAAAGGATTAGAGACAACTATTACTGAATCACAGAAATGACCAGGAAAGAATAAGGTCAGAGAAACAGCAAACTGTGGAGGAGGAGGTGAGGGCGTCTGAGGCCTGCACCGGCACAGCACTGCCCGGAGCCCTGACCTCGCCCAGCTTCCTGGCTCCCGGACTAGGTGGTGCTGGCTCAGCTGTAAACTCTCAGAGTGCAGACTCGGCAGGAGGAAGAGGTTGGAATGTGGAAACCAATCCAGAGGGAAGCTTCCTTCCCTGAGGCAGTTTTCATTTTGAGGTTACTTTTTTTTGTACAACAAATGCTGTCTGAAGACCATCCTGTGACACACAGCTATTTTCACCTCCTGCAGCCATCCCTAGAATAGTGCTTTGTTATCCTGCACACAATGCCATCCCTGGTCCCAGCCTGCAGTGGGCTATTGTCTGGCGGGTTGGCTGGTGTTTCACCGCAGGTGGGGAGGAGGAGGGGAGAAAGGAGGCTCCCACCCTCACAACATTTTTGTCCTTCGATTAAATAGCAATTAATTTTCTCCCTGACCAGCAGCTCAGTGGTTAGAGCATTGTCCAGCTACCCGAAGGTTGCAGATTTGATCCTTAGTCAGGAAACATACAAGAAGCAACCAATAGCCGAACCGGTTTGGCTCAGTGGATAGAGCATCGGCCTGCGGACTGAAGGGTCCCAGGTCAAGGGCATGTGCCTTGGTTGCGGGCACATCCCCACTGGGGGGTGTGCAGGAGGCAGCTGATCGATGTTTCTCTCTCATCGATGTTTCTAACTCTCTATCGAAGCAACCAATAAATGCAGAAATAAGTAGAACAACAAATCAATCTTTCTCTCTCCCTTCCTCTCTCTCTCTAAAGATCAATCAATTTAAAAAAAAATAATTTTCAAAGTTCCCTTTCATCCACTTCACCTTGCCCACATCTAACCATCCTGGGATTTAAAAAAAAATATGAAATGAAATGAATGACAAGTCATTCATCACATAAAACGTACTGAAAATGAAATTCTGGAGAAGGGCGTAGGGAAGTAAACACTCTAGGTGACATATTCAGACATTTGTTTTGTCGGTTTACTCACTTTAACTATGTTGAAATATATATTTTAACATATTTTTATTGATTTCAGAGAGGAAGGAAGAGGGGAGAGAAAGATAGAAACATCAATGATGAGAGAGAATCATTGATCAGCTGCCTCCTGCATGCTCCCACTGGGGATCGAGCCTGCAACCTGGCCATGTGCCCTTGACCGGAATCAAACCCAGGACCCCTCAGTCCGCAGGTCGACGCTCTATCCACTGAGCCAAACCGGCCAGGGCTGGAATATATTTTGCAATAACGTTTCTCACCTAATAAAACACCACAAACACATCAACTTTTCATTGTAATAGGATTTGGTCAATTTGACTCTTTTAGGAATGATCCCCTTGTGTATAACAAACAGGAGATAATCCCAAAGCAACAAGAAGGAAAAAAGTCCCCTTGCACACTTTGATTAACTTTCAGATTATTCATATTATCTTCTAGTACAGTGGTTCTCAACCTTCCTAACGCCGAGACCCTTTAATACAGTTCCTCATGTTGTGGTGACCCCCAATTTCATTGTTACAAATTGAACATAATTAAAGCATAGTGATTAATCACAAAAACAATATGTAAATTATATATGTGTTTTCCGATGGTCTTAGGCGACCCCTGTGAAAGGGTCATTTGACCCCCAAAGGGGTCGCGACCCACAGGTTGAGAACCGCTGTTCTAGTAGCACAAACTAATCAGAAATTGATTATTTCAGATTTTGTTGCTTCCATTGATCTCTTTTTTTCTATTTTGATTTTTGTTTCTTACACATCTGTTCTTTATATGTACACAAATGTACATGTTACATTACGTACACAAATGTACACATACATGTGCTTTTACAGGAAAGTCACATGGGTAATTATGATCTTTTCTTTCATTCTCTGTGGTGGGTCACACCCCATTCTCCTCTCCGCTCCCCCAAAGTGAACCACACTAACTTTCTTACGGATCCCTTTTCATATTTTTCTGAGATATACATAATATATTCACAAACATAAGGTTTAGTTTTTGTTCTCTACATTGTGTCATTGTGTAGCTTGCTTTTTTAAAAAAAGAACACCCTCAACCGAGGGTATTTTTTCCATTGATTTCTAGAGAGAGTGGGAGGGAGGAAGGAAGGGAGAGAGAGAGAGAAACATTGTATGAGAGAGACTCATGAATTGGTTGCCGCCCACATGTGCCCCTGCCTGGGCCAGGAACCTGCAGGGAGGTACATGCCCTTGACCTGGGGTGGAACCGGAGAGCCTCTGGTCTGCAGGCCAACGCTCTAACCACTGTGCGCCCGGCCAGGGCAAGTGTAGCTTGCTTTCATCACTCAGCAGTACTTGTGGAATGCCTCCAAGCCATCTGCCATCGCCCAAACAATCCACTGGCCGCAGGTGCTCCCGGATGAGGAGCACCGCTGAGCCAGGCACTTGCATGCTGTGGGCTGGCTGCTCTGGGCGCTCCGGTCTCAACGAGCAGCAGGCCCTGAGGACCAGATGCACCTGTGGAAGTGACGCCCGGGAGGGCAATGTGGGGTTGAAGGCGCTCATCTCCGGCCCGAGGATGATGAAAGCCACAGGTCCCGGCCTCAGCGGCTGAGCCTGGACCAAGGGTCAGGGTTCGATTCCGGTCAGGGCACAGGCCAGTTCGGCCAGTGCAGGCACGCAGGAGGCAGCCAATCCATGATTCTCTCATCATGGATGTTTCTCTCTCTCTCCCTCTCCCTTCCTCTCTGACATCAATACAAATATATTTAAAAAAGAAAGAAAAGCCGGAGGAGAAACCAAGATGGCAGAATAGGTAAACACTGGAAATTGCTGCCTCGCACAACAACTTCAAAAATACAACTAAAAGACAAAATGGACATCATCCAGAACCACAGGAAGGCTGGCTGAGTGGAAATTCTACAACTAGAAGGAAAGAGAAAAGCACACTGAGACTCAGAGGAG